TGATTTGGATGATTGCCACGTGCCAGCTTCACTCGCTGGATGTTATAAATGAGTCTTTTATGTTGTGAATATTTTACTACATGCATGATTAATGTAAAAAGTAATTTCAACAAAGCGAAAATCATTTTGTAGATAATTTAAAATAAAGTTTTTGTGCAATTTATTATTCATATTATTCAGTGCTGAACATTATATTTATCACATTCATTTTGCGCATTCAGAAAATATTTTTTGTAAAGGGAAATATTTGTGTGATTTAACAATATGTCAAAATAATTGGGTACGTGGTACTTTTATTCTGTGTGTTGAATTTGAAAAATAATTTATGGTAATTTCGATTAAATATTAACTCTTTGGGGACAAATATACTCTGTGAGGCACAGGCTATTTTATAAACAATGACTCAGTTTGCATCTAAAAGTTGAATAAATTACATATAGCAGTGATAAACAGCGTTGTATTTTGAAAATAATTTTAAGTTATTTTAGAAGTATTTTTAGCCTCTTTCTTTGCTATATGGTCTTTTTTTAATAATTATTTAATATTTAAAACGGCCGAGCACTTTTAAATATGGCAAAATGACTGGTAAATTTTGGAATTAAGCAGTAGTGAACACATATTATTATATTGTCTAGGGTAGTGAAGATGAGTTTCAAATAGACATTCATACAGACAAATTTTACGAAATTACTATTCGCACCGAAGATAGTGATGAATGTGATGATGGTAGTATCGAACCAACAAAAAGAAGAAGTTCGACAAATTAAATGAAGAGCGGAAAGATATTAGCGAATGTGCCGATTCTCCTTCAATAATCGAGTTTGACATACATGAACAAACAGTCCGACTATATATAAGCAATATCAGCATTCAATAGATTATTTTACTTTATATTTTACAAATGAATTATTAGACAATATGATAGAAAAAACAAACCATTATGATGAACCAATATACTAATTGATCAGTGGCATATTCTAAATGCGAGAGAAAGAAAAAGAGATTGTATTGTCTGTTCTGACAGAAAAGCACCAGGAGGAAGGCGGTGAATAAAATTTTATTGTAAAATCTGTCAAAATCAACTAGCTATGCATTTTGGAAATTGTTTTGAACGTCACCATTCTTTATAAAATGATCAAAAATAAATTTATATTACAAATGTATGTCCTTCAATATCCACAAATTTTTATCAAACAAATTGCATAACATACACAATGAAATCAAGTTTACAGCCGGTACAATAGATTGTTTTGAAATCGGTGCCCTCCCGTAATGTTAAGTTATAAGAAGTTAAAACTGTAGTTACATATTCATATATTCGAATCATCACATATATGTTTTAACCTTTTTTATTTGTTAAACAGAATGAATGCAATGGAATTTTTTGTAGTGTCGAATATATGACATGCAAAAAATTGATTCAAGATACATTTCACATTACTTTAGGAATTAATCGTAACATTTATGGATTTACATAACCATGCTATTCAAACTGAAAAAACGCGCACTGAAAATAAAAAGTTAATTGTAATTAATCGTATTATTAGTTAAAGTAAATCTTTGCTTTCGATTTTTTTCACATTGCTGAAAATTGTAATTATTTTTAATAAAATATGTTTATCGCTTATATTCAAGATATTTAAAATGATTAGTAGGGGAGTCTGGATACGGTTGTGCCAGAGTACGGTTGTGACAGTCGTCATAACAGCTAAACTATGGCAATTTGGAATAGGATCCAAGAGAGTAAAGATGTAGTATGTTTGTTAGAACAAGTTACATTATTACTCTAATTCAGTGCCGTACATTGACATGATCTGTAAACCGAATTTTTTTTAAAGCGCCAAAATTGATTTTTGTTGTTCGGCTTCATTTAATAACTGTTACTAGTACACAGATAGATTACTATGTTTGTCATTTTGCCATAAGTTGAGCATCAGTTGTTGGTTACCAGCAATTCGTTTTTGCGTAGATAATTAAAATCGGTCATAACGATGATTTGTCTCAAAAAGTGTGCGTTGAGTACGAGTGTGACATGTTTTTTATGTATTTTTTCGGTTAAAAAGCTGAACATGTAAAGAAAAATCTAACTGAAGTAAGACAAAATACGAAAGAGAGGAATTGAAAAAACAATACAAAAAAGACAAATTCTATAACCGGTATCATAATTCGATGATTGATTCTGCCCGGTTTGTGGAAGCTCATATTTTGTATTTAGGGTTGGCGTAAAGGATCAAGTGCCAGAGTTTTACGTAAAATACGCAATCATGTGTTGCGCTGCAACTAGTTCCAGGTTCGCTGGATCGATTCCCGCTACCGCCGTAGCCCGACATCAAGCAGCTTTGATGTCAAATTTCCACTTGGGGTTATAGATCACAATATAATTCCAAGTGGAAATCGTCCTTCGTGGACATAGCTGCAAAATCTAATCATATGTTAACTATTAGACGTAAGAGCTAATATCAAAAATATCCCACACATAAGAGAATGGTTAATCGATGGATTGCCTCTCATGGAATAAGTAGTCTTAAGTCGTTATCCAACAGCTTATAGAACATATAGGAGTTCTGATTGCTGTTCAAACAATAAGAAGAAAAAAAATATATATGTGTTGCGCAATGAACCATGTTCTTTATTTTATAATTGTATAATAACGGTTGCATACCTCTGGAATATCTGCAGGTTGTGCATCCCAACATGCGCCAGTATTAAACGGCTGTACTGCCAAGACTCTCGGTAATTTTAGGTTTCTTTCGGTTCTTTTCGGTTCAGTTAGGTTCAGTTATCAATGCCGACACTCGGGGTTAGTTGATTCATCGATTCACCTGTGCGAAATATACCTAAGGCAAATCCAGTTATTACCGTTATTATAAATTGTATTCAATCACTTATAATTGAAATACAAAAAGTATTAGTTACATTGAAAGTGGTGTTGTTAATACTTTAACTATAAGTGGCTGACGGTACCTGAAACTATTCATATCTTGTCGCCCACATCTACCAATCCAAGACATTTCATATGATTCTGACTAGATCTCAGTATATTGATGTTGATGAAGTGACTGCTTAGTTAGGTAATAATTGTTAGTTTACGTTCTGAATGAATCTATTAAAGTAATCTATTAAAATAACATACTATTACTAATTATGATATATATATATATATAAAGAAAATGATCTCATAGTTCAGTTTATTAATTGTTAACTTTGTTTTAAAAGTTATGTTCTTTTATATAATATTTTATTATACTCATATGATTTAAGATTGTTTAAATGAGTATGTTATGTTGTGTGACGTAGACAAATGTTCTAACTACCCATTTATTAACTTCCCGAAGGAGAAATTTGTTTTCGTCAAAAAATCCGATTCGCTAATTTTATGTTCTCTCGCTTGACGTTTCAAGCTATTCTGAATCGAATGAGACCAAATTTGGGAAACGGTTGGACCGATTTCAAAAATTTAAAAGCCATTCGATGTACCTCGATGAGCCCGCAATTCTAAATCAATTTTAAAAATTCAAAAAAAGTTCGAAAGATATTGGTTGGGAATCGTGCTGATTAGTTTTTGGTAAAGATCGGCCGGACGGTTTTCGTGTAATAAATTGCTAAAATTATTGATTTCGGCGATTTTTATGTTTTTTTATAGCATAGACTTTAGATAGATCATACTAACATATTACGGCCCTACGACAAGTAGTTTAACTTTTAAAATTCGTCAAAGATTGCAAAACTTAGTAACGTTTTTTGGGATTTATCAAAATTAAACCTTTTATCGACACTTTCTCAATAACGTCTGAACCAATTTCAGAAATTTAAAAGCCATTTGATGTATCTCAACGAGGACTATCGTTTGTTAGTTTTGTGCGACGATCTGCCAAGCCGTTTCTTTGTAATTTGCGAAAAGTGTTAAAATTTTCGTCCACATTTAAGCTTATGCTACCAAATTGATTTAAAAAAATCAAAAACTGTTCAAAAGATATTAGTTTAGAATGACACTGAATAGTTTTAGATGAAAATCTGCCGAGCCGATTTCTTGTAATTAACTGTTGAAAAAAAATTAAGCCGATTTTTATTTCACAATTTTGAAAATTCTTGAAAATGTTGCAACTTATTTAAGTCGGTTGATTTATGCTATCGAAAATGCTGAGGTCATTCGTTTAAGTGAATGTGGAATACTTTAAATCTTGGTACCGAACCCATAGAAATTTTCTACTCTTTTTTAATTCCGAGATCGCTCGACTTGCCCCCATTTTTTTCAATTAAAAAAATAATAATTTTTTTATTTCGTCAATAGGAATCGAATGTTTTTTTAAATCATTGAAATCGGTTGAGCAGTGCTCTCGAAAACGTTATCAAAAATGTGAAACCATCATACGTCCCGAAAAATTTGTATCTATCATGCATCCATTTTGTGGCGAGAATAGCATACTCAGTAGCGTCCTCGACTCACACGCCGGAGGAATTCGGCTCGAATCTTCAGCAATACCAGAATTAAAAATATAAAATATTAAAGCAGATTAAGAATTGTATTATAAGTAAGAAGGAAAATATGAGTTTAGTTTAGAAGATGAGAAGAACATATTGAGAAACAAGAAGAAGCATGAAAATTGAATGGAATTGAAGAAAGAAAGTTGAATGGAAGATTAGGATATAAGAAGAGATAGTATATATATGATGAATGTATAAGAAATATATATGTAAGAATTGTATAGAATATGATGAAAAATAATATGAATAATGTAGGTGGCTTAAAGTGCTGTAAAGCGGAGGCCAATAAAAATTTAAAAACAAAACATCAATTTTTTCTATGGTACGCCAAAATGTTAAGAAAATTTGACGCTTAGAAGTAGGAAAAAAATTATTTTTTTGCGATTACTATAACTTACCCTACGGAAAGTTAATAAAGTAAAAACCAATTGGAAAAGCCATAAAATAATTAGGACATTAAATTATATAATACTACAGAAATAAAATGTTAATATAGTTCTTTTATTATTTTTCAGTGGCGGGTGCTGCATAGCGTGCGGCGTTCGTTTTGGTTGCTTCTCCTCCTGCGGTGCTGTATCCTCCTGCCTGCTCCATGTCACTGCGGTGACGTCACGCACGACGTCCTCCGAGTCGCGCGCGGCGTCTCCACCGGCAAGACGCGTCACGTTAAAACCGAATCTCCGCTTTATCCCAACGACGTTTCGAACGCGCGTCAAGAAACCGATCAAATCGTGCACGAAGTCACACTCGGCGTAAGACATCACAGTGAAATCAAACATAGACACATAACCGATTTGTTGGGTAATAGTACCCATAGTAAAACCAATAACCCCCCGCGGTTTGATAAACGAAAGCAAGTGACGGTGTTAGAAGATGCGATTATTGCTGATGAAGTTCAATTCGTGAATCCGAAAAGTGAAGTGAAGTCTAAAGACCGCGTCGCGTCTCGCATGACGAGAGGTGATGATTCGGATGATGAGAATGTGCTACATATCGGCGGGATTTTTCCGATTGGCGGTGAAGGTGGCTGGCAAGGCGGTCAAGCTTGCATGCCGGCGGCTAATTTGGCTCTGGAGGACGTCAATAGGCGGAAAGATTTGCTGCCGGGGTTTAAGCTGCGGTTGCACAGCAACGATAGCGAGGTAAATATTACACATATGATATTCAGGTATATGTAAACTAGTGGTGTTTTACCACAATTAAACATGCGAGAAATAAAAATGATCAATGATAAATAAGAATTAATCAGTTATTATAACAATTATTTTTATATTTTGAAATAAATTATTATGAGTACCGTAAATTTACAAGCGCTTATTTTATTAAAATAGTCAACTACAATAAATTGTATATATATATATATATATATATATATATATATATATATATATATATATATATATATATATATATATATATATATAACTTATATATAAAAATGGAACGCAAAATGTGTTGGTAAGCGCATAACTCAACAACGCGTGGACCAATTTGGCCAATTCTTTTTCTAAAATGTTCGTTGAACTCCAAGGATGGTTCTTACGGCGAGGAAAAACCAAATAACCGTCGGGAAAACCCTAAAAGCAGCCCTTTTCTTATTCTAATACAAATGTTTTCTAACTAAAACGTAGAATCAATTTGAGCTTTATTGCTATTATATAAAGTTAATATTAAATTACGAGCACTCACTGTATACTCCTCCTTAACGATTATTCGGATTTTGATAAATCTTTCTGAAGTTGGTTAAAGAAAGTTTGTTACTGGGGTGAATGTGAAATATTGTAGAAATAAATGGAAAAAATTGACATGTCATTGTTTGCATTGAAAATAAATGAAAACTATCATCTGCCAAAAATTTCAATTTACTTATGAACCTAAACAATATTAGAATATGTTTAATAAATTTATGATTATGAATAAAAAATATGAAATACACTATGACAAATTAATTCACTTAAAATATGAAGTTAAGTATTAATCATGGTCGGTCCTACCTTTGATGCGATGCATGCGAAAAATACGAGTGCACGCCTTAGGGGGCGCTAACATAAGATTCGGGTATTAAATTTTCAATATAGTTTTTTCTTCAATATATAATTACTTTGCATCTTTCACTAATCTTTCCACAATATTTTTAAAATTCGTAAAAAATCACTTTATAACAACAAATGGGAAAGTAGAGATGAAAACATACAATTCGGCCATCACGATATCGATTAGAAGAAGTTTAAGATGCAATTTTGGATATCTCAAATAATAAAAAAATACATTAATTTAATCCAACATGAAGTACCAGTGTTATGTTATGGTTATGGCTATGGTTATGTTATACCGCTTCAAGGACTTCAATTTCCAATATAGTGTGGGAATTGAGACTCAGTATTTTATTTAAAGCAGTTCTACATTTAACATCGCTCATATTATAAATGTACATGCATTTTGAAGTGAAGAGTAATTTAAAAAACAATAGTTATTTTTAGGTAAACGGTAAATATTAGTATATTATATTGAAAAATTGTAGACGTCTGTCGGGTCAACTAGTATATATATATATATATATATAAACCTAATCAAGACGATTGAATAAAGGCATTCGAGAACATTATTTCTATTTAAAAATGAGAAAACAAATGATTATAAAAACTCAAATACTAAAGGCTTTGATAAAAATTTGATTTACCAAAAAGGAGTGTCTTAATGCCAAAAAGAGTTTTTCATATTAACCAATTAGCCAATTTTCATATTAACATTTAAAAAAAAATTGAGTTTCTAGTAACACTTGCGGCCCATTTACTTAATGTTTCTGTGTATGAATAAAACAATATACTACAATTAAATAATATTTACCTAAAACATTCTTTTAAATTTAATTAAACATAATCTGTCAAAACAATGAATATTTAAAAATTGAAAAAAATGCTTTATTTGAACATCATGAAATTTTTTGAATTTTTTCAAAATTTACGAAAATACTGTTTTTTTTTAAGTATTAGAAATATTTTAAAAACTGAAATTTTTTATTTTTTTATTTAATTTTAAAGTTTTTGATACCAATTTAGGTTGATTGATTCATATTGTGAAAAATATCTGATTTTCAACCCCCAGATGTCATTTCTTTTTCAGTTTTTTTCTCGTTCTCCGAAATCGCTGAACCTTTGCAAAATTTTAATCAATTCTCTACTAGTGAAATGATTTTGAATCATTCAAGTCAGATGCTTCTTACTTTCAAAAACATAATTGCACATAGTTGTTTGCTACTCCATATCTCCGAAACGGTTAAACCAAATTATTAAACCAAACTAACCAACACGTCTCTCAATAATCTCAAAGATTTCTATCCATACATACACACACACATGCATTTATTCATTTTTGCTAAGGTTTGCAAAATGTTCAAAAACCTTTGAAATATAAAGATATTCACACATTTTCATTTTAGTTTATTGGGTGATTACTATATCTTACCCTACGGGATGTTAGTAATATCAAATACTACGTAAATTATTAAAGCAGGTGCTTTAATAATTTATTAAGTTAAAAAATGTTTTGACGTATTTCATGAAATTCAACATGGTAATAAAATTTATGCACTGATTCTACGAAATTGGTTGAATTATATAAATTAAATAAAATTTTATAGTTCTTTTATCGTCCTAAACATGGCGCCACAATTTAATATTGAAAAATGACAGTAGGTTGCAACAACTTGTCGGGAAAGGATTAGTTTCCAAAATGTCGTCTTTCGGGTCGTGTCGTGGCGTATATTATAAAGTGTATTGCGTTCGTATACATATTTTTCGGGTAAATGAAGTGAAAGAGCAAACATTTATAGACTTCAATAAAATTTTAAGTAAATAAGCAAAATTAAATTGGAAATGGCCGAAATATTTTATTATCACTACATAAGGTAGGATTTTAGAATAGCAATCCAACAACATTACGTAACACAGAATCATTATTTTAATGTCGGAGTCTTTGATTTAAATAATGTGAGGGCTTCAATATGATTTTTATAACTTCCCGAAGGATAAGTTTGTTTTTACCAGAAAATTCGAACTGATCTGAAACATCAATGAAAAAAAATATGTATGTGTATCTGTGTCTTAGACCAAATTTAGAAAATGATGATGATTCAAAGAACTTTCTGCTTGTTTTAACAAAATAATTGCTTTTCAAGAAGTTTTTTTGTTGTTAATCGAAAATAGTTCAGAAATTATTTTTAATTGTGACTAAAGTTCTAATATACTTAAACAAATAATTTCAACTTTGCAATTCAGTTTATATGATTCATATAAATATCAGACTATATTACAGTATTTATTTATAATAATCTATTTGAAAACATTTAATATGCCTCGAATATTTCGTTACGGGGCGGAAGTTCCAGCAATTTGCCTTAAGGCACGATGCCATACACACCACTAGTTTTTTCAAAATTGAAAGAGGTATCGTGCTGGTTTTGGGAGCCGATTTGGGAAAAATTTGAAAGTGCTAAACCTACCTTGCCAAAAACTATTCATGCTTTTTAAATAATCTAATTGGATGTTCCGCTTACTCAAAATCTACTATTTCTTTCACTTTGCTCTCTATATCTTCGGAACGGCTGAACCTGTCATTGCCAAAAACTAAGCAGTACTTCTCTCCGTCAAACCTAATAATGAAATTTTTTGTGAAGGCAGAACTAACGGTTTCGGAGAAACGGCAAAAAGTACTGTGCTTGTTTATTCTGTTTCTATTCTATAGATGAAGTCGTCACACAAATATAAGCTCTATATTAGATTTTAAATAAACGATGATGATAAAATTACAGTAGTTATAATAATTACTTTAATTATTTATATAACTAGTGGAGCGCATGGCATCGTGCGTTAAGGCAAATTGCTGGAACTTCCCGCACCAATTTTTTTTTTTTTTTTTAAAGATTTTTGAAAAAAAAATACTCTAAAAAATTAGATTTTTGAGAACTATAAAATTTTTGACAAAAATTTACTTTTTTTGAAAAAAAGACTTTTTGAAGAATAGTATATTTTGAAATATTTTGGAAACTTTGAACTTTTTTTCAAAGCAATCATACTGCTTTAACTGCATAGAAACGAAATATCGAAGCGCGTAAGCGCCGCGCCGCCGTCTAACGGATAAGCATTGGTACGGAACCCATAGGAATGTAAACAAAATTTATACTTATTGTTAAAATGTCTATAAAATATCTGATGCACATGTGCACATGTCTAATGATCTTTTTGACCGCCAGATGTCATTTTTTTTTACTTTTTTCACTAGATCTCCAAAACCGCTAGACCCGCCTTTATGAAAATTTGATCAGTTCTTCATCTTGTTAATACAAGTAAAATGTTTTTTGAATTATTCAAATCGGACTCTCCGTTCTCTTAAAAACTGGATTACCGTTTTTGGTACTTTTTGCCCGTATCTTCGGAACGGCTAGACCTGCCTTTGCCAAAAACTAATCAGCACGTCTCCTTATCAATACAAATCGAATGTTTTTTGAATTATTCGAAATCCTCGACGAAAATTTGTATCCGCACGCACATACACACACGCACACACACACACACATACATCCATTTTTTCAAAGGTATGCCAAATATTCAGAAACCTCTAAAACGTAAAGATATATAAAAAAATGTATTTTTCGATTTTTTTGCGATTACTATAACTCACCCTACGGGAAGTTAATTAATAATAATTATTTAAAACAATTATTATTATTGTTATATTTATATTTTTGATGAATTTTTATTGATGATAGATTATTTTTACTTTGCAAATAACTTTACGGAAAGTTCTTGCACAATGTCGTGACCCACTATTTATTAACTTCCGTGTTTTCGTCCAAAAATCGGATTTGATTTTATGTATTCAGAATCGAATGAGACCAAATTTAGAAAAATGATGTGTGTGTAGCATGGATGAGTTTGTGTGTATGGCAGCCGATTTTTTACCTTTCGTCGTCGTTTTCTCAAGAACGGCTGAACCGATTTCAAAATTTCAAAAGCCATTAGACGTATTTTGTCGAGGACTATCGTTTGTCAGCAAAAAGTGTACGTCCACGTTTCAGCTCACAATTATGAAAAGATTTTGAAAAATTAAAAAAAATGAATGCTGATTAGTTTTTGGCAAAGATCAAAAAAATTTTCGTTCGCGTTTTAATGAAAATTCGGACTCGTTTTTGAAAGTTCAAATACTATTTTTACAATAAATCGCTCATAGATTAATACATTGTTTTAGTATTGATTAAGTCAATTATTTACACATATCGGGAAGTTCATGTAACTTGCCTTAAGGAAAAATACCTCACCCAACTAGTTTTTAAAACCAACTGTATAAGTACGTTAGCATTATCAGTATGCTTAAAATAAAATTAGTGTCCTATAGTATAGTCATTATTGCCTGCTTTCAAAATTAATTCATTAATTCACTACATTTTGCATAATGGGTATTTCACATTTTTGGTATTACTTTCTCGTTAAAATAGCATTATTTTTTCGTATACCACAGCATCAGAATTCATTGTTATCCGTGAACGTATGAAATTACATACCATTTATATTCGGGAATTACTTTTTCATAATCGAAATGCTTTTAAATTCAAAGGGCCGTTCACATTTTTGTATGTTGTATTTTTAATATTGCGAATAGATAGAATACATGAAATTTTTAATATATTGTAAATCGTTAGCGCTTTATGTATTTTATTTATGAACTGATATAATTGAAATTGTATTATATAAATACAGTTTAAATAAACCTTTAAATGCCTTAACCAAATGCACTATTATACATCACACGTATCAAACAAGCAACTATATCGAACTATAATTACCAGTTAATTTCCAATTATAGAAATGTGTTTCTTACTAACTTTCAAAAATTTATTATGTGTCCCTGTCAAATGAGAAAATTAAAAATAATTTCAGCAAATATTTATTATTATATTACACGATTTACATTTGCTCTTCGCACATTGTATACGACATGAAAATAATAATAAACTGGATGCTAGATTTTCTTTTGTTTTCAAGTAGATATTGTAGTCAGAGTCGCATATAATGTGCAGACATCAACATTTAAAGTTTGCAAGTCTTTCGTATTAAATGCTTCTATCAAATATAAAACTTTATATCTTTACCAGACGCTTATGTCTGATATAAATTTAACCGTTGTATACATAACAGTCTCAGGTTCAGTGCCATTTCATAAAATTGACTCTTAAACTTTACATTTTTACTAAAAAAAATATTATCATTTTGTTATAGATATTTAAATGCATTTGTATTTTAAATTATATTTGATTGATTAGTAGTATAAATTTATTGCACATGGAAATTAATAACTCATATTTATTTTCCTGTTAAAACTTAATAAAATAATTCCTATAAACTTATTAATCTTAAAAGGATGGGGCAAATGGCTTCTAGAACTGATTGTTTTTTATTACAAATTATCAATTATTTGGTGATCAATTGTACATATCAGCTTGATGTTTAGAACCCTAATAGAATTTATTTTCTCTTTCCGGAAAACTGTAGCTTTTTATTGAAATTATTAAATATATCAGCAAACAAGCATAATATATCTTCAATTTATGATATAATCTTAGTGGCGGATATAAAATAATTGTTTATTATGTTTTTTAAATATCGTTGTGCTGGTTAGTTTTTGACAAGGGCAGGTCCAGCGTTACGAAGATACGGAGCAAAGAGTGCAAAATAGAAATCGAGGTTTTGAGAACGGGATATCCGATTTGGATGATCAAAAAACCATTCAATTTGTAATGATTGGGAGAAAAAATGATGATTAATTTTTGGCAAAGGCAGGTCCAGCCATTTTGAAAATAATAAGATTCAGAAAACCTTCTACTTGTGTGACCAAAACAATTTTTGAAAATTATTTTCCATCAATTTATTTTTTTTGGTATATAGAAAATAATTCAGATGTTAATTTTAATTTTGGCTAAAGTTCTAAAACGCATTTTATACTTTAAATAAATGAATTTACGTTGTAATTCAGTTTATATAATTCTTATAAATATTAGACAATTTCGCAGTATTTATAATAA